TTGGAGAACTGGCACAACGGCCGAGAATGCCCAAAGTTTCGCCTCTGTTTTTCTTGCCTCTCACACGCTGCATGAACTTGGTAAGCAGAAATTCCATCTAGTCTCGACAAGGACTCTCTCCAATTTCTCACCACATCACCACCGTGCACGAAGTCCGAAAGACCAGGAAAACTGAATAAACACAACTAACCCCCCCCCCCCCCCCCGCTAAAGACCACGAACCAAGCATCCCGAACAACGTGTAATGGACATACCGATCACTTGCAGCACCAGCAGCCATGAAGATGGCAACAGCCATGACCATAAGCTTTGCAGCTGGATGACCGACCTCGGGAGCAAGGGGAGAAGAGCCAAGGAAGGCCCAGCCCAGAGGCTGCACACGCCACCTTGTGGGTTTGCTATGAACCTGCTAGCAGTGCTTCTAACCTGCACTGACGGTGGTCCGACGAAGCCCGATGAAGGAAGGCAAGACAGTCACGTCAGACTACATCTGAGTAGGCCATTTAAGGAACTCCGTTGCCTGTCGTGCGTGCTCGATGCTTCAGTTGCAAACTGCAGCTCTTTGCTATCTGCTAGCGCTTCACTTGTTGTAGTGGACGTCACCTAGCTCTTGCTCTTAGTTACTACTTGCTACCGCCAAAGCTTGAATCCACCGAGTCGGCCTCTCCGAACTCGATGCGGTAGTTGTCCACGTCGTCTTGGATCATCCACTTGCAACAGGAGAGCCGCTTGATGATCTCGCCGATCTGCCGTCCACTGGGATCCCTCCGCAGACTTTTTCGGTTTGGGGCTCTCAGTGCTGAAAATTCGAAGTTGAGGGTTCGGTGTTCAGAGGTCTCAGCAGGGGCGTGTGAAGCTCAAGATTCCCTGGCTCATGGCTCAGAAGTCCTGCAAGACTTTTGAGGTTTAATCGTTCAGAACTCAGCTCTTCAGACCTTGCTTCTTCCGTGCGCTTGGAGGTTCGAGAGACTTACAAGCAGGCGATAGTTGCGGCTAGAGGTACCTTGATTGGTCTTATTTTGCTTGCCAGAGTCAGACACCTGACTCTGTCAAGCAGGGGACTGGAAGGGGTTCCACTTTGGAGTGTACAACGCGATCGGGGAATGCGATTTCGCGGAACAACCAGTACTGTCGTCGATCATCCACAACCGCATCCGTGGCAGAACGCATGATTTCGCATCGAGAGAGCTGACTTCAGGAAGAGATTAGAGATTCTAGCCAGAACCACTTATGCACCGTTCCCTGCCACTCCTAGACATACATACATAGTAAGTCATGATGACCAGAATCCTTGAGAAACACCAGAGAAACAACACAGAAAAGCAAACCCACAGCAAAGCATGACACCAAAAAGGATTCGTCAGTGTTTTGGCCGTAGCCCTGCGTAAGGAGGGGTGGGGCATTCAACCGTTACATCTTTAGACAGGTGGCTGGATCTCGAACTTCACCTCCGCGCAGGGGCCACATGGACAGGGGCAGCAAAGCCCCAGTTGACAGCAGCCGCCGTCGATTGTGACCAAGTCGCTGCCCTGGTGATCCTGCATATTTTCTGGTGCCTAAGGCTAATGCTTGCGTATGCGACTGGTCATTTCAATCTTGAACACTGTCGCAAGAATAGCCATCATCATCGTCGTCGTCCACATCACCAACTGCACCATCATCGTCAGAGTCTTCTGTAGATCGTCTGAACCTAAGGGTGCAGGCTGCCATTTTTCGTGCTGCCGTTTCCGATTTGCTTGCTGACACGGCTTGAACCGCAGAAGTCGAGATGGGACCAAAACGGGGGAGCTCAGCACACTACAAGTATACTATAACAAAATACACCCGCAAACCCTTATTCTGCCTACTCGGTCCCCGTTGAGGGGATGTTGAGGGGTCGACGCTGGCCCTGAGCCCGAGAGACCTTGGCATGGAAGACGAGGTTGCAGCAAGTGCACGGGTCTTCCACCTCGCCGATGGGGACGCCTGGGGCAGTCGGGCATAGCGCTTTTGAGAGCTTGGTGTGTGCTGAAGGAGTTCGCGTGAGTCTGCTCTTTCACGGCTCTAGGGCCCAGGGCTGTAGGCTGCTGCCCATATGGCTCAATACTACCAGACTTTCTCTGAGAATCACTCTCGCTCCTCCAAAAGCTTGCCTGTCTAGTCAAGTTCGCCCCACTACGACATCCCAGCCTTTTTCATTTTAGCCCAACCCAGTGGCCTTGCAGGTCCTTCACATACAGGACAGGTCGGTTGAAGCAGCAACCTCAATCTAGTCAAGTGCGGCTCGGGCTTAGGTTTTGGGTAGGAGTGGTCTTGCGATCTAAGTACGGTTTGGGACTTGCCTTTGCAGCTGCCATGCCGCTGCTGTACAGAGCTGTGACAAAAAGTACGCAGAGGGCGTGATTCAGTATCTATCATGAACTACTGAGTTAAACAGACCTCTCTTCAAATCGTGCCTGCACTGGCCTGTCGCATTCCACCGACACAGCGTCCGCAGAAAACCATCCCTCTCTATTCCTGCTGAGCAGCATGTGAGCGTCCAATTCCGTTCCAGCTTAAAGGCTGGAGTCTGCTGGTACCTCGAGTGGGAATGCGCGTTTCTCCGGAACTGCTAAAAAGGATTCAGGTGGACATGCGAACTTTCAACCCGAGCTCCACCCTAAATGCCATGCCCCTAGCCACCGGACCTCTCAAACCCTAAACCCTAAACCCTAAACTCTCTCCCGGCTTGCCAAGCCGCAGGAGGTCCACGTTCCAGGCCGCGCAGTCGGGGCAGCACTGTTTGATTTGCATCGTGAGACAGTCGGTCTGCTCCACGGCAAAGAAGATCTCCTGGCCCTGGAGTTTAGAGTTTAGGGTTTAGGGTTTAGGGTTAAGGGTTTAGACTTATTTAAGGCTTCAGGCCCAGATGTTTCGAACTGGGGAAACATTCTGGCAGATCTGGCAGACAAGGATCCGTCTTCGAATCCAAAATCTGATACCTCGGCTGGATCCGCAGCAACGGCATGCAATGGAGCTTAACATTCCGTCGGTGTTGAAGAGCAGCCTGCAAAAACTTTCATGCTCGCCGTGGCCACCTTCTCAAGCTGGGAAATTACATGGACTCATCATGCGATATGGGTCTAGTCTATTCGATACCGGACGATATGGGGATCAGAACCTGATGGAAAGTGAGCTATAGCGTCCGCTCTCCGGAAACTTCTACCGCCCCAGGCGATGTGGCCTCAAGCTGCATATCCTAAATTACCCTGACAGCGGCGAAGGGGTTCTTCACCGTGGCATGGCCGCCACTGGAAGGATAAGCATTCAAGGGATGTTGTTCTTAGCCTAAGGCGTGCTATAGTCGGACAATCGAAGTCGTCGAAGTACTGTACAAGTCGTGGAAGTGATGGTGGCCATCGTCGAAGAAACAAACTAGAAACTAGAGTGGCAGGCGAAGTACTCTCAACAGAAGTGGCAAATCCAGCACAGTCTTATTGCTCCTTGCACAATCTCCATCAATAAGTTGCCCTGATCTGACAACTTTGAGTAAGAGAACACCTCCCGCCCCGAGCTGCCAAGAAGCTTGTTTGCCATCTCGATCCTTGGTTTTCGTGGGTTTAGGGGTTTTGTGTAGGGGTTAATGGTGTAACACCCTTGGTCCTTCGACCCCAGCGGGTTGCTCTCAGGCCGTCTACAGCCGAGTATCTCTTGACCAAGAGCAGCAGTGAGAGCTTCCACGATGCGCACCTGCTCCTTGATCTGCACGGAGCTCACCTCACATTCGGCTCCAGCTGAAGGAGGCTGGGGTTTAGCGTTTGTAAACTCGCCCGGCGCGATGGCTTCATGTGTCCCACAACTCTGCTGGTCTGCATTCATGCGAAACCGAAGCGGCAAGCTTTGCTAGAGCAGAGACGGCAACTTGTCAAGGCTTGCTATGCATAATTTGTCATCTCAGGCAACACTACGACACATGAATCTGAAATACCACATTCGAGCTGTCCTCCTCTCCGATAGGAAGCGACACATCACAGGCTGAGACAAGTCACATAGTTCAGCTGCTCCATGGACTGCATCCCGGGTGCCATTGCATAGCCAGCGNNNNGCAGGTCCAGGCGGCATCCCATATCCGGGTGCAGGGCCATATCCGGGCGCGCCCCCCGGTGGCACGACATATCCCTGAACGGGTCCACCTCCGTACATTGTGGAGCCGTTCTACGTGGCTAGCACAGCCAAGGCTATCCTGCGCCGACGGCTGCGAGGGCAAACCAAGGAGCTGAGCGAAATTTCGCAACCCACCCCTCCCCGCCAAGAAAAGAA